AGACATGGCGCAATCAAGTAGTATTCAAAGAGTGGGGAATGGGGAGAGATGAGATAGAGATATAGCCTCTGCCATAATCCTTATAGATATTTGCCAACTTTCTCAAGGCAAAAGCCTTGTCGGTCTTACCATCATCAATCTATCACAATTCAACAATTAACTTTACCCGGCCTGTTCCTTGTTCTTCTATCTATAAAAACATAACTGATGGCCCTGCTGCTGCCTTTAGGTTGTAGAATCTCTCAGATTTCATAATAAGTATTGCATTTTCATGAGCGCAAGCATATATATATATATACCACGACAAAATGATACCTCCAAAACCTAGTAGGGTATAGCTCAATATTGAAAAAACTAAATTATATATGAACAAGAAAACACATTTCATTATTCATACCTATCTACAAACACAATCTCATATACAAAAAAAAAAAACTATCTTCTAAGCTTCTACTTGATAATGAGTACTGTTTTTATTTGATCATCAAAACATTTTTAAGCGCCATACTAGTACATATAATTGGCATGGTAGATAGTTCTTGTGATCGAAATGGGGCACGCACATTGGAAAATCAATGTGAAATCATCTGAGAATATATATATTTGTACATCATATACATGTAGTAACAGTGGTTGGTTTGGTTTGTCAATAAAATTCATATTCTGGCAGTAAATTAAATAGTACGAGTAAATAGTTTAAAAGGAATGAATTATATTGGTTGGGGATTGAGCAAAACAATGCAGGAGCAGGAGGTAGCGAGCAGATTGAGAGCAGAAGGTGGTGCACGTTGGGGTTGCGTGTTGTGCGCGAGTCTTTCTTTCTCTTGTTTCAAAAGAGAGCAAAAGAGAAGATTACTCTATGTTTATGTGGGCGTGTTGTTGTGTTTCTTCTTTATTTTGGAAAGAAAAAGGGTGCAACAACGTGATTCCCTATGTTGATATGATTCCCCTATCTTTTATTTATACTGTATAGTTATATACTACGTACCCTAGCTTTTTCCCCCTAGCTAAGCTAGCTTCGATCTCTTTTCACCAATCTGCTTGATCTTGAATTGATCATCATCATCAGCTGATCTGATGAAAACGTGGACGGTATAAGATTCATCACTGTTAATAAAAGTTGTACCTTCATTAAAATTGTTTGTACAATTATAGCTAGAGTAATCTTGACATGCAGTGTCACACTTGTCTTGTTTAAACAGAACATATATAGATTTTGTATGATGATGAGGTCAACCTGCAACCCAAACCCAAACCCAATAGAGGAGAAATAAAGCTGAAGATGATGTAAGAATAAAATACAGGGGGCTTGCGTGTTTATTCAGTATTGTGTTGGTGTTTTGGTTCATTTGCATCATGTCTTGCGCTAGCGAGCTATTATATTACTACTGAGAATGCTGTGATATGATACATATTGACTGATAGTGTATTAAATTAGTCGTAGACCTTAAGTTTTCTTCATGACTTACAGCTAGTTGATCATAATGATGGATGGATGGATATATAATGTACTTAAATGATGGTTTTTTCTATATATTTCAATACCTCAAAGTTACCATCATTTTGAGTCTTTATTGGAACAAGTCTTCAAGCACTTGATGTTTGTGTTTGACTTGGTTATTAGAATAAACATGCAGCTACAGTTGTGGCCTTTTGTTATAGGTCATCAAAGCACCTTCAATTCGATCATACTTGGAAAAGAGAAGATCCAGCAACATATCATATGCATGCATGTAGGTTAAATATTAACTAGTGTTGTTTAAGCTAGACTCTTTGATTCCTACACTATGCATGCCAGACCTAAATTTCTAGCTAGTCCGGCCTTCAAAGTTCAATACACACCCAGGCATTGGAGATGGCCGGTAGTTTAATGAACATGCACCAGTCATCTACCTGTTCAATAGTACACTTGACAGTTTGACACACCCTTTCCATTGACATTTGCCAAGTGCTTTTTTATTTTCTAGGCTTGGAACTTGGAAGGTGGCAATCAGGTCGGGTCGGGTCGGGTCGGGTTGGCGGGTCAGAAACCCCTGACCTGAACCTGACCCGATAAGATAAACATGTTAGGTAGGTCGAGTCAGGTTATCAGGTCAACCTGAACCTGACCCGATATGACCCGAAATCCCCAATTTTGACTGATTCCGGGTTACAAGGTCGGGTTATCAGGTTATCAGGTCGGGTTATCGGGTTATCAGGTTATCAGGTCGATTATCAGGTTATCAGGTCGGGTTATCAGGTCGATTTTAACTGATTTTGACTGATTTCGGGTTATCGGGTCGGGTTATCAAGTCAGGGACATCAACCCGAACCTGACCCGATAACTAATCGGGTCTATCGGGTCAACCCGATATGACCCGAAATATAAAAAAGCCTGACCCGAACCTGATTTAATCATGTCGGGTTCAGGTCGGGTTGTCAGGTTTCGGGTAAAATTGTCACCCCTATTCATTCCTCTCAAAATTGGGCCCAGAAGCCAGATTTTGATACGGTTTTGCCGAAAGGATATTGTTATCACCGTGCAAGTGAGAAGAACATTTTATAGATCTTATCTAAAGGACAAAGACGATATTTAGGCCCAAAGACTTGACCGTTATTTTTTGTCCAAACTATTCACATTAATCATTATCTTTACAAACTATATATCTATCTTTGAGTTCTCTCTATTGAAATGAAGATTGGAGAAAGAGATATGAATGAATGATTGGTTTTGATTTGGCTAAGAAAATAACGGAATTAAAAACTACCCCAT